GAGGTGTACATATAATTTGCATTAATTACGCATTTGAATACGCGCATTTTGAACACACAATTAATGCAGTTTAGAAGCCAATGCAGTAAAATGCGCATTAAACGCACGTTATATGCGCATTGGCGCTCCTTGGGATTTGTTGTGTTTTAATGTTTAATATTTCATATTTATCCATGGACTAATTTTCTCAAACAAGTATACATTTATTCAAAACAGTAAGAATGAAAAATATAATAGATTAGATATCATAGACAAGCGTACTATTTAGCTTTTGAAACAATATTATACTGTGATTGAGGGGGGTCGGTCTCAATCCCACCAGGGTAACGGGTTGAGGCCGGGTGTCAGGATGTCCAGCGCACACGAGGGATGGGATCTCGGGCAAATGAGCACGCACGAGCCTGATAACGGTATCGCTTTATTCCGCGTCACTGTGGTATCGGGCGGCCCCCGTACCACGTCACACTTTTCCGCTGCCTAACTTACAACTGCCGTGGTCCTCTCCCGCTTATCGGGGGGGGGGGGGGAGGGTCACGGCGGTCCCGCTCGCGTGATCCGCGGGGACCAATCTTAGCCGCGCACGCGATTGCCGCAAGCTGGCGTCGCCGTCAGGTGACGCGCGCCCTTTGACTTTTGGCTTGCTACCTGGCTATACCTTTACAATACTACAATATTAACCCCTCGATACATACAGCTATTAAAATATGCAATGACAGCCACTCCTGAAGTAAGCACAGCGAAAAAACCAATCAGTATCGCGGAAGAGGCAACAATCAATTTCGAAACTTTCAAGAGAACTGTGATACATAAAAAAAAGAAAATACACAAAAATATAAGACTTACTGTATTTTACGTTGTAAGTCGCCAAGTACTTCAAGAACTTGCTTTATTTCATTTCTTTCTCTTGGTAGTGATGAATTTTCCAATCGTATTTCATGTGATGGTGTAATTTGAAGTGGAGCAATTGGCCCCGTATTTCCCAATTCTTGTATGCAATGCGATTCTTCCACTGGTGGATTTGAATTTGTAACAGGTTGCTGGTAACACGGTTGTAAATTGTGTAGCAGCTGTATTTCATTCTCCAGAGGTAGAATATTATCTGGCTGAATAGATGGTAGTATTACATTTTCCGATACTCTTTTATGTCGTATGTTGTCATTCTTCATTATATTCATGTTTTGTTCATGAGTTGATACACGATGAAGACTGTTTTCATCATTAATACTGGGTTGTTGTGGTGGCATATTTGTAGGATTATTCGCATTAAATGAATGGAAGTCAACAGTTTGTCGCTGCATATTTTCTGCCAAATTTTCTGTTGTGTGTTGTCCAATATTACATACATTCCCTCCAGTAAGAGGTATTGGATGGTATGGTAAACGATGAAGTTTTTGATTATATGCATTTTCGGTCAGTGTGTATGGAGCAAATACATTTCGGTTGGTCTGATCATGTCTAATGCACGCCTTTGTAACTGTACAATTTGAGTCCTTATTGGAATTTGAATTACATGGCAGATTTTCGATAGTACTGCGGATCTCCTGCAAAGTACTTGACATTTTCTTCTTTACTTTTTCTTCATCAATATGCTTAGGTTTTTTAGTCTTCACGTTATCTTCGCTCGAAGTGGTTTCGAATCGACGTGGTTTTTTTGATGGTCTTTTCGGACGGTTTGTGGATCTGAAAATAAACAGGAATAATCTGAACGTGTTACTATATATTGTGAAGATTAACATTAACTAGCAAGTATGACACTTTTATAACTTTAAAATATTCCTACATTGTATATTTTCATACAGGTCTAAAGTATAGTATTTTTCTTTCTCTTTACCCTATGAAACATTTGTTCGCAATGTACATATTACATTACAACAGTAGATACAATGTAAAAATAAGTATAAATTTTACAGTTACACTACAGTTACCTTCAAATACTTCAAGCTAATCAATATGAAGATGTGACATGACAATATTTTTACGTAAAAGATGTTTACAATCACTTTCGATAGCAAATATTTACATAAATATATTATACAGCATTTATAGTATACAGCATGTACCAAAAGTCTGGAAACGGCCGAATATTTCATAAACTATGCATTTTAGAAAGAAATGTTTCAGACGAAAGTTGTTTGGTTCGAAGAGGGACACAAGATGGTGTTATTGGATTGACCTTGAATGAATGTGCCAAGGTTATATGGAGCTCAACTTTGATTTTTAAATGGAGCTCCCTAGTTTTCATTGAATATTCTTGTAGCTTATCTCGAGAGATTTTCAAAACACTATAATTAAATGCTCTTAGAACCAAACATCTTTCGTCTGCAACATTTTTTTCTAAAATACATAGTTTACGAAATATTCGACCGTTTCCAGACTTTTAGTACACCCTGTACACCTATAGTAATAAAATTAATTGTTTTCTTTATTATTATTGCATAACTGCAACGATAAATTCGTGTTCTACTACCTTATCACACACTTCATTACTAGAGACACAGGTCCAATAAGGCATTTTAAAACATTTAGCTTTAATATTCTCCAATGGAATAACATCATAATCAAGAGCTAATTCAGAACACTTGTAAATACCGACTGAGGATGAGCTGATGCCAATACTATAAAAATCTGCTATTTGCAGAAATTTTTTAACGACAATAAAATAATTATTTTCATATTGTAAGATATTTTTCACGCAA